GTCTCACAGTATGAGAACTGCCTCCCTCACCCTCTCTCTTCCATTTCTTGTCTGTTAGAAGTTCTTCAGGTTTTAAGGCAAGGGTTCCCAAATTTAATTTGTTTGGATAGTGTAACCTTAGCTCCAAAGGAGTTACAAATTTTCAGGTTTTGGTAAGAGAAGATGCATGCTCTGGATTGATTATAGCCCTTTCAAACATTACTATACATCTGTTGAAAATTATCTTGGTGTATTTCTTGTGGGAATCCCATTCTCCCTGAAAAGTAGATCATGTTTAGGATGGCATCATACTTAAATATGATGTTAGACAGTACTGACATGCATTAGTTGGACAGGAACTACTGCATCATAACTATAATACTGTAGATCATGTTATTCACTGTTGTGATATAAGCATTAAGTCTTCACTTTTTATGCTAATGTCAGTTTTAAACTGTATTTACTAGTAGTTTGGGATTATCTTCATCTCTATTTGTTTGAGTCTGAGTCAGACATTTGCCATAGTCCAGTGGTGTGAGTGTTCACAGCAGAGTTATGAAAACTAAATTCAAGTTCCTGATTCGAGGAATAAGTAATTATTGTGTAGTAGAGCAGCATTAACATGCAGACCTTGCTGAGTTTGTAATCAGTTTCATCTCCTAAAGGAAGTGGCACGCAGGCTCTCAATCTAATTGAGCAAGTTCATAGGAGGTAGTAAATCTTGCAAACCAGTGTTTAATGCATGCAGCCTTGATTTACTTGAACAGAAGGATTGTTTGCTTCATTGTGCTGATGAGGGTCTTCACACTTCTGGGGAACTGTTTCTGATATTCTCTGGTGTGAGTTTACCATGATATCTCAATACGATTTCCCCTGGGGAACTAATCACTCAAGTAAGTGTTGGCCAGCCAGCAGCTGCATCATTAACCAACTCATGAAACTCCTTTGTAGAATCTGGCTTCTAATTTATCAATGAGAACTCAGGAACCCCAAAGTTACATTGACATCAAGTTGGTTTTTTTTTGAGATACTGACAGATATCAGTACCTTTCAGGACAAAATCCTGAACAGCAGCTTCATGAGGCATACTTTGGATGACATCCTTTATCATTTGACATTCTCAGGTTGTCTAGCCATGTAATTGTTTCATTTTTGTGTTGAGTATGTGTGTTTGGAGATACATATTGCTTGTAGAGGTTGAAAACAATGTTAAAATTGTGAGTTTCCCTCTCCAAACTTTTTCTTGCAGTTCTGGCTGAAAATCCAGTAAATATTGATAAAGGTCAGAAGCATGTTGAGCCAGAATTTTCCAACAAATTCCTTTTTTGTCTGAATTTCACAGTTGTTTCCTCTGGTTTGTCTTTATTGGGTGATTGAGCTTCTAATGTATGGGTAGAACGATAGGATTCCCAGCAACATGGCTATTTCAGAAAGAGAATCTAGGAAGAAGGTTTAAGTTGAAAAGCTTTAATAAAGTAGATGTTTTCAAAACTTGAACGCCCATGATCTAGTAACTAGTGAATCAAAAAAACCTCACCCAGGCTGCCATTAAATATATGTTCCAGAGATCATTGATTTTTAAAACACATCCTACAAGTGCTGATTCTGCAAGCACTTGTTGTCATAAGATCTAAAAGCTTTTATCTCCTATCAGCTGATGGCTGTGCTATAACCTTTGGCTTCAGACTTCTGGTAGGAGCAGGGTATGTATTTCTACAAAGAATGAAACTCGTAACAGTCTTATCAAGTTACAGCAGTACTCATTGTGTTTAACAGTGCTGGAAATTAGTTTCTCAGGCACTGATCTTGACAGGTCAGCTGTCACAAATTGGTAGATGTATCTGTAAATACATTGGTCCTATAAACAAAATTCTGTCTGCAAGAAGTGGAAGTTAAAATTGGCACATTTCTGAACAAATGAAATGTTCTGAAGCACAAGGATGCACAGGAAAAATCCCTTCTGGAAAAGGTTTTCCTCATGTTCCATTTATCAACTTTCTCTGTGTAGTTTGCTTTTTAGAGACTGAAAATTTGTGCCTCCATAGAGAACACTATGGAGTTCTGTGCTGAAGTGAAATATGCTTCTCCTCCTCGCACCTACCCCTACTGCATGAAAGAGGAATCTTTGTCTCTCTCCTTTTGAATAAAAGCAATAAAAGGACATGTTTCTAGCTCCTTTTAGGAGTTTTTGGTGTTAATGCAGAATGCAAAAGTTAGGGTATTTGAAAAGTCTAAGGTCTTGATATGAAATCAGATAGTTTTTGAAGGGAAAAGAAGTGAGAGAAGGAATTGAAATATCGGTCCACCAGTGGTGAAGTAATAAATTAATGTGTTAAATTTTCTGTTTTTTTAGTAAGTATTTAATTATTGTCTGTAGATTGTACAATCCATTTTGGCCAAAACCTTCCATGTATCTTTGTCATATACTTACTGCATAGGACAGCTGAAGAAGGCTTAGACAGTAAACATTCTTTACAGATTTGGGACACAGTATGTACCACACAGACCTATACTAATTTTTGAAATTTATTGAACCATATTGATTTATGTAAGCTGACAAATTGGTCAGTTTGGTTTGGCAATAACCAAAGCTAAGAAATATCTGGACATATTTCAGAGCAGGCATCTTAATTTGATTTTAAAAAATACTATAGGTATCTACCTAGCTATAGGTAGCTATAGGTATCTACCTGTATTGCTGCAGATGCTTTTATATGCAGGAGGTCATTTATCACTCCAAACTGGCATCACAGGGAGAGAGTTTTCAATCTGAGATACTTTAACTTTCAGGAGTGTCATTAGAAAGCTGAATATTATTCAGTTATTCTCTTCCTCCACCCTCCAAGTCAGCTGGATAAATGGAGATGTAGGTTAATTCTTTCCTCTCCTCTCAGCTTTGAAGATTTAGTGACTATAGAATAATTTTCATCCGTTCTCGTGTGACGGTTGTGGTGGCTGAATATTCACTGAATGTCCTGTTCTTTTTTAGTTCCCTGTTTATCTGTTTAGTGCAACGAACAAAAATAAAACTACACAGATCTTTGCCATCACATTTTATTTGTCGGTTTGATTTTTGAGGTTTTAGGATAAAACTGAAGTCATAGAAATAAATCATGTAGGACATCTAGCCATAGGCATTTTCAGTTAAATAAGTTCTTTCCAAGAAGGTTTTGACTTGTTACATGAAAATTAGCTTCTGGCAGGAAGAAGCCACATTTCACAGATCTTGGACTATGTTTAATTTCTACAGGGCATGCCTTCAGCTAACGACAGTGCTTCCACATATATGAGATAGTATTGGTGTTTAAGAGCAGAGATGAAAAAGAAGAAGGAAACAGTGTCTACTTGATACTATTTATGACACTTCTGAACAAAATGACACCATGCATTCTGTTTGAAAGTAAAAGGAGCGTCTGACTGCTACTGCTACTGAAGAGCATATTTCATTTGAATAATCCAAAGGTCATTTAAGATTGACTTCTCTATTGAACCTATTTTACTGAATTTTACTGCATTTCTCTTCAGAAAAATGCTACAAACTTGATTTTTAAAGCAATATATTTTATTGAAAAATAAAATATTTAGATGTAACATTCCAGGGAGATATTCTGGAAACATGCATCCAGGTACATCTAGCACATGCACGAAGTACTAATAGATATGACATACTTGATCATCAGGAGTCTGGGAACTTGAGAAGGTGTCATTGTTCTGCTGATAATGTAGAAGCAGGGCAAGAAGAGAAAACAAGACTTAAGATAGGATCTCAAAAAAGTCCGAGAGAGAAGAGGAGACAGTCTTACACCACAGAATCTGTGTCAAGAATTTATGACCATCAGTGAGTGAGAACGTTGTGCAGCAGGGAGAAAGGTCGGTCTTTGATAAGCAGTAGGGAATGATTTGAAAAGTAGAAGGGGATCTGAGCAGAGAGGGAAATATGAGATAGTGAGACCACAAGCAATCCTGAAGACTGTGTCGTGGTTTAACTTGGCCAGCAACTAAATGCCACACAGCTGACCACTCACCCTCGCTCATCCCTGGAGAATGGAGAAGAGAATTACAGGGGAAAAGGGAAGGAGACTTGTAAGTTGAGATAAGAGAAATTTAATAATAACAATAATATAAAATCAAAAGTAATAACGATAAAATAGTAATAATAATAATATATGAATATGTATAAATTTATAATAATAGATACAAACAAGTGATGCACAGTGTAATTGCTCACCACTCGGTGACCAACGCCTGTCAATTCGCAGCAAGCGATCCCAAAACTGATAAATCCCGACACTGCAATCCCAGATGAGTGAGAGGCCCAAAAAGAGACACAGAGGGAGAAAGCGCCCTCAGAAAAGAGTCTTCCTAACTTCCCGGTCAACCCTCTGCTATATACTGGGCACGACATTGCATGATATGAAATACTCCATTGGCCAATTAGACCCTCAATTCTAAGTCTAAGTTCAAATCATAAGGGGAGTTGTGGACCCTTTGTCCTGGCCATGCTGCCTCTCAGCCTGCCATGCTCCTGCACACTGGCAAAAAGACGGCAAGCTGAAAGATCCTTGCTGTCTCAGCACTAACTATAAACATCAGTGCGCTATCAACATTCTTCTCATAATGAATCCCAGACTAAATCCAAAACGCAGAGCTATCGTAGCTGCTCTGCTAAAAGGAAAAGCTAACTCTGTCCCAGCTGAATCCAGGGCAGACTGTCAGGCAATATAAACTTACTGGAGAGAAATGTCATATCAGAGTGATCTAAGTGAAATAATATGACAAATACTACAGATAATAGAGTAGTTATGTTACAAGCATCAGTGAAAGCACATTCAGGCAAGATACTTGTTCATATCTGACCTCTGAATCTCACCAATTCTGATTCTGCATTAACAAAACCCACACATCTCTCTTCCTCTCTATATCAGTTCTGGATACTGGTCAAGCTACTGTTAAATGTTTACATAAACACTGCAAGATTTCTGCCTGACAGTCCTTCAGACTCACTGTACTTTCTGTTCTAGTTGGCAACGTGGGACTCTGAGAAAGGACTGAACGGTAGCCTACAAGAACGACGTCTGGGCAATGACTTACAAGGACTGACACTCAAAGTGGTGACTGTCTTGGTATGATCCTATTTGAGTTCAGGAAACAAAATGCTCAAAATAGAAAGGATCTGACTGAGTATTTTGGGCACTTCCCTCCGTATTTTTCTCTATCGTTTTCAATTTTGTATTTTTGGATGATCAGTTATATAAGCAGGAAAGATAGATGATGGCCTTTTATTATTTTATGTGAAGCTGTACGCTCTCAGAGATACAGAGCATTTATTTGTTTGCTTATGCTGTTCTTCTGCATCGTAATTCCTACTGGGCATGGAAACGGCACAGGGCTTGAGTGCACAGGGGTGCATTCCAGATACCATACTCTAACTCAGATATGCAGTTTCCAGCATTTCATGGATTTTAAGATCAGATGGGCCATTTATGATAATCTAATCTTGGCTCTTGTACACTGCAGACCGTAAAATTTAATCAAGTGTTTCCTCCATCAAGCTCATAAATTCCCGTTGAGATGAACTATATCTTTTAGAAAGGCGTAGTCTTTCCAAAAAATCATTACACTTTTGGGACTTCTGTCCTTTAGTATCCAGAGAGGCAGCAGAGCTCTTGTCAGCTAAATGCTAAATTAGGGGCAAATGAGGGCTTGAATTCATTCCTTCCTAAAATACTGTAGTTTGCAGATTGCAGAAACCAGTATCTGTTTGTCATTTTTATTTCTCTTTTTCTGAATCATGGTACAAATCTCAAGTACTGCATAAGATCATTAAGGCACTCTT